ATAAGTATCTTCATTTAAATTTTGCTCTTTTGCCACCAAAACCTCCAAATGCTTACGTGCGTGAGTATCTTTATATACATTACAGCTCCCTTTGATTCTAATGGGCCTATTTATATGTGCAGTTAAAAGAATAAAAAGTTTGCAAGACTGTGAAGAAATACTGTTGTGCTCTTTTTAAGACTGTAAAAATAAGTCTGTAAAGGCATTTGATCTGTTCCCATGCATATAGAGATAGCATCTGGAAATCAGAGAACTAAAACCAGATATTGAGAGTAAAACAATAGTAATGTGTGAGCAAGCACTTGTTATCAACCCCAGCTAGCCTGGGGAGGTGGTAGTTTATTAAATTAACCTAGAAGGAAGTAAAGATGGGTTTAAATGGTGAGGTGGAGGCTACAGTAGGTCTAGACTAGAAGTGCTGGTGAGAAGAGGGGCTTGTGAAAGTGTGGTAGTGAAGGCTTTGGATGTTATAAACACTGAAGCTGAGAAGAGATTGTAGTATCTAGGACTGAAAGTACAGTCCTGAGTGGAGACTATCAATTCATGGCTGCTTGCTTTAAGGTGCAGAGAGAGGAAAGGTAAGCGTTAAGGATTCTTGTATTTTACTGATGAAAGCTGGGGCAAGGCTGCAGATGAGCTAGACTGTCAGCTGAGGAAGAGAAAGTGTTGTAATGGCTATAGGGCTGACGGGTTGTAGGTTGTTGTTATTTTATATATATATGTGTATTTTTTTTGAGTAACATATGGAGAGAAAGAATGAGAGAAGTGAAAGAGGACTTCTGTATCTTCACAATTAGTTGAAGTTTCCCTATCTTAAGCTTTAATATTGCTTTGCCAAACAGTGCAAATGCTTATTCCTATTGGCTGTTACTATCAAAAAGCCCTTTTTCTTTTAAAATTAATTACTTAAATATATGCACTACTTATAAAGACAACCTCATATATAATGTGTACCTTTCTCTGAGGGGAAGATCTGCAATACTTTACTAAGGATAAACTTTTTAAATCAACTTTGCTTCTGAGCTAACTATTGCAAGAAAGAGTTAGATAAGAAATCAGTCTGGCTTCCCAGTATGTTACTTTTTAAGGCTATCGATTAAGGTCTTGCAGATTACTTCTCTGGAGGTGTAAATGGCTAGGGATAAGATTATCTGCTCCCATAGACAGGCATACAGAGAAATGTTTTTTCCACAAGTAATTCTCTTGTAAAAGGCATCTTTGCTTTCTCTTTATGTTCCTGAATCCTTCTCTCCGTGGAAAGCACTGTGCTTTCATTATCGTACGTTACTGAAGAGCCTTGCTTTCGTGATCCATCTCACTGATAACTCATAAGATTGAATGAACATTATAACAATGCATCATCTAAGAAAGGTGTGCTGATGATTAACAGCATAATTTAGATGTAGATGTCACCCAGGGAAGATGGCATTAAGCTGCAAACTCAGCGTAGCTGTAAAATAGGGCTTTGCAAATGCTGGTGGTGCTTGCTTCTGTGGTCAGGACTTATCCTTAATAAAAAGAAGGTGGCCTATTTCTTGGATTCGAAATAAATTCAGTGTTGTTTTTTTTTTCCCTACTGCTTTGTCAGTGGGTTAGGTTAAAACTCACAAGTATGACCAAAGCTTGATGAGCTGATGTGAGTATGTGGTGTGAAAGGAGCAATGCCGACTAAGGATGGGTAAATGGGGAAGTCAGTGCAGGAAGAGGACTGACGTAGGTGAAACGTTAGCAGAGGGGCTAGACGAGATGACCTCCAGAGGTCCCTTCCCACCTCAAAAAGTCTGTGATTTATGATAATGGGTAAGATGCTGGCAGTGATGATAATCTTTGAGGAGCCTAAGTGTGGGAGGGAAGTCAGGGGTGGGCTATCAGTCTAGTGGAAGGAGGGAATAAGCTGGGAAGGAATCTATAACGAGGCATTTCTCTACCCAAATGTAACTTCTGCCTGTGACTGATAGATCATAACTTTGGGTTTCCTGCACAGCCTGAAGCTGATGAATGAAAAGAGCTGACTGCTGTATGTGAACTTCAACAAATATAGCCTTATGTGTTGCTAGACACTAAAATTAGCATTGGTGACTGCTTCCTCTGTCCCAAATTCTCACTCTGCATAAGTAAGCACCCTGAAGGACCTACACTTAGGATCAGATTAGTCTAATTACAGCCTGCTTGCCAGGGCAACATCTTATCAGGAAAATGTTTGCATTTGAACTTTAGGGAAGGTGGTTTTGTCATCATGCTGGATTCTTCTTGCCTTTGTTTCAGACCAGGATATGAGGAAGTAGCAGCCCTGTGAGGTTTTCTGGGTGACCTTTTTGGAGTTGTAGAAATATTTGTGCTGCTGAATGACTTCTAATACTTTCTCTGCCATGTAGTCTGATCAGGATTTGTGGATCTATTTGCTCTGAACAGATTAGTCCTGAGAAGTTATGACGGATACCTCTCACCTCCCACCCATGTTCTTCTTAAGCCTGATTTTATAGTTGAAGAGGAAACCCTGATGCAGTCTAATCCAATATATGGATAGAAGCCATACAAACTTTTCCATCCTCAGTGTCTAATAAATCAGTGTCTCAATAAAGAACAGATGACTTAACCTGGGAGACAGGAAGATAGGGAACAAGTCAAGGAAATGGAGTACTCTCACACTTTATTCAGACTTTCTGTTGATTAAGGCCATCAAGCTCCAATAGAGGTCAAGTATCCAGCTGCCACTTCACTGTCTCTCAGCAATTCAGCTCCTGCAATAGCTCTTCTACCAAAACATGTTGCTATGAATTGGTCTATTAAAATGAATTAAGTCCCACAGAGCGCCTGCTGGTCTGCAGCTACTGTGAGGGGTCAGTCCTTGCCATGGGGTTTCTCTACCTGGGCAGTGGAGGACAGTGTTTTATTTTAGATGGTGAATAGTTTCCTGTAAATTAATGGTGAACTAAGTTTCAGGATGGTGCATCTGATTACAGATACGCTCCTCCACCATAAGTAAGGTCACTGTTCTCATTATATTGCTATTAATGGGGTTTTAACTCTGCTGCTGTCAAGAGCTGACTTGAGGTATGCTGGGAACTATCTGTAGTCTCATTGTTAGGGCTTGTGAAGATAAACAAGCAATGGAAGCCACTTTATGAACAGTGAAGACTGCAGTTTATATAACCGTCCTAAGTTATAGAAGATTTTTGTTGCAGGAGAATACTGGTCTCAGACCAGTCTCAGTGCTGGTATTTAGAGGCATTTGGGATGTTTCTTAATGAGATTACAAATAAAGAGGACAAGTGGGAACCTTTTCTTTGGTGTACATCTGCATAATTATTTTTAATTCGGTCTGTGGGGTGATGAAGAGGAGGGTGTTTTGCTTGCTCAGAAGGGATTATTCCTTTGTGTTGTATTTGATAGATTTATATGTGAGGAGGAAAAGGACAGTTAACTTCCTCCTCTGTCTTATGACAGAAGAATAGATAATAAATGGCCCCAATGCAGGGATACAGAACTTGATAAAAATGATCAGAGTAAGGTCTGAGGGAAAAGTAAGAGCTAAAAGCTTAAAAATACCCAACAAGGCAGACTGCTTTTTCAATGATCTGTTGACATTCCAGTGGGGCTTTCTTCTTTTCTTTCTCATTTTTTAAGCTAATAAATGGTATAGTAAAAGTGGCATCTAATGAAATCTTAAAGCTTAGGCTTAAAATGATTTCCCTTTTCTCTTTTTTTTTTCTTGATGGGAGAAGTTATTTTTAAAAGGCTTCATATTTCTGTTTTGTATGATTTCTTTGTGAAGTGAACCGGTTCTCAGTGAATCATTTTATGAAGACGTGCACATGACAGAAGTCCTATATGGATAACCTAGCTGCATTTCACGATAAAAATTGGGTTAGAATAGCTACATTTTCACCAATGACTCCAAGAGTATAGTTTTTACCTGTTGCATCAAGATTTATATCTGTGCTTGTGTTAGTAATCTAGTAAGTAGTTTGCGTCCTTTGTTCGTATTGAAGCATTGCCACAGATGGTTAAGGGACACCTTACTGCACACAGTCACACAACATGTAAATCCAAGGTCTTCACCTCTTGCGATTGTTAAAGATACCAGTTTTCTTTTTTTTTTTTTCTCAAGTAAAAAGATAGCGCTCACATCTGCTTAAGTTTGAGCTTAATAGTTTACTGCTAAAGGGAATGGGAATTTTGTCACTGACTTCAGTAGAAGCAAAGTACCTGCAAGAAGTTTGTGTCTTTAAGTAGATAAAGGAAATTTGGTGACTTAGGCTTCGGTACAGCTCAGTTCATGGCAGCATGGCAAAGACAGGCTCAAGATCATCTAGTACTTTGGTAAGCCTTCAATTGCTGGAAGGTAACTATACATACTAACAAATGGAGCTGGGTTTCACAAACCCTATAACGTTATCTCTGCAATAGGTGAGTTATCACTGTATGTTATAGAGCTGGTCTTTCAACCCCTTTCACGAATAAGCACCTATTTATGCAGACAATTCCAGTGAAACAGGATTGCTTGGATACCTAAAGGCCAGTATGGTGAGACTAAATGCTTTTGCGTGCTTTAAGATGAATAGTTACTCTGAGGTCTCATTTTACTAGTACTGTTAGGTGAATTGTTAAAAGTTCTTTTTTTTTTTTAAATAAAGTCCTCAGAGCTATTTTCATCAATGATTCTTAACCAAGTTCATATTTCTTTGTGGCTGTGTCTTTACCTTGGAAAGGGAAAAGTGGATGGACTCTGTAAAGCTCAACAAATGCTTAACCTTTGCCATTGATTTTATGTGGAAGCCAATCATATGCTACGTTTATTACTGCAAGCACAAAAACTTGGACAAATCGGGTAAGATGGAAGGCATATATTTTGTTATTATTTCTTATGAATTTGATTTTTTTTCCCCAGATAAGATTAATGAAACGTAATGGTGTTCAGCTCTTTATTTTCTTCATTACTTCTTTACTGAAGTGCTCATGATGGCCTATTATTGCAGGAGAAACTTAATGTCGACAGCATGGGACATCAGGTGATAATATTTGACTTTTCTCTCATAAGAGGACTGTGGGAAACTCGAGTTAAGAAGAACAAAGAACGTCAAAGGAAGGAGAAAGAAAGATTAGAAAAGAGCTCATTAGAGAGGTAAGCCAGCTTTTTTTGTTGTTCTTTTTAACCGAGTCTGTTAACAAATCTGTTAATAGCACTGCGTATAGTCAGGTGATTCAAACTTTAACTTACTGGGTTTGGTTTCTTCATTTCTTGCTGCCTCTCCTCAAATTATTGTAGGAGAAATGAGGCAGAAACTATGCCTATATTCCATTAGTCTCTACACTTTCCTGTGCAGATTGTGATATATTAAAGGTGTTTTTCACTGTTCTACTGTGTAGATCTAATTTGAAGACAAAAATAATGTACTTTGTACTCTTACACTTTTTATATGCAATATGGAACTGTTTCTTATTATGTAACTCATGAAAATATACTCAAAATTCTGTACTAAGAAATACTGTAAGTTTTTTATTGAGCTGACGGGAGAAACAGCAAGGAATGAAATAGACACATACAATTGCCCTTAAAAAGGAAGGAGAAAGCAGAACAAAAGAACTATCAGAGGAGTTTTCTCTTGCCCAAAATATTAGAGAAGCTTGAATATAATGCTTGCACTTACTATGTTATTGTTTTTATTATATTTTATTTATGGCTTGTTTGAGCAGTATTGTGGTTTCTTCATGTTCCTCCCCATTAGAGACAGTGAAATATTACACCGTGCTGGCAGTGTTAGAAACATATGACTTACCGTTTTTCGTTTGTGAGAAGAGAGCAAAGTAATTAAGAAAACACTTTCTATTTTAAAACTGAAGTGCATAGGGTTAAACAGCTGCCCTGGCTGAAGGGCAGCACTGAATCTGGGTGCAGTGCTTTGGCTGGCTTGGGGAACCCCACTCGTAGATACACTGACCTTGCAACAGAGCTCCTGGGCTAAGGGGAGATTAGCGTTAGTATAAAGTCTGACCTCCTTTATTACGTTGCCTTTAAAACATTTAATGTCATAGTTTTGATTCCCTCCTCCCCTTCCCTAAACCTGCATTAAAAAATAATCTGAGCAAAAAGAAAGAAAAATGAAGCTTTTCTCCTTCAGATTAAATTTGTTAGTAGAGGTAAGCTTTCCCTCTGATAAGGGCTGAGGGGTAGAGAATGTTTATTGTAGTGTTACCCTTATGATGGAAAAGAAAAGCAAAAGGATTACTGGGTCTGGTTTTACCAGATCCCCAAAAGATTTTTGCTATCCCAGAAGCTAATGCTAAGAAGCGACTTTGTTTAATTTTGTGGCAGATAAAGCAGAAGACTCTGCATTCCTTCTCCGTGTCAGCTAGTGGCTTTTGGTTTGCAGCCGCCTTTGTAAAAATACTTTTAGGAGGAAAGCATGGCTTCTAGCAGTGCATGGGCACCTGCAGGTGTGAAAAGGCAATCTAGCAGAGGTGGTTACAAATGCCAGCTTGCCTCTGCCATGTTTTTGTTGGTCTAGTGGTACCAGACATGACTTCTAACATGACTACTACAGAAATACTGTACATAGGGATCTTCTGTTTGCAGGAGGGAGCCTATGCCTGTCATATGCTCCAAGGTAGCTATTTCTAGCTCCCGTGTCTTTTGCCTGTAGCATTGGTTAAGACTCATAACTATCTCCTGAGCTGTGTTTTTTGTAAAAACAGTACATTCTCCCTGCCATTTTCATCTGTGGTAGTTTATTTCTAGCCACCCCTTTAGGTAAAAGCATGAAGCTTGGTGGCCTGTTCCGCCTTATTCCGTTAATGAGGTCAGGATATGAGGCAGGGAAATATCAAGTTGCAAGTGTGCTTTCAGCATTCACAAAGGCATTTTTTTTCCTCCTTTAGCTTGCAACTTGCATACAGTACCTTGTCTTGCTGCACTTCTCCATGCTAAGCAATAAGGTGCCTCTCCAGTTACTCTTATTTCTTTTAGGGTTCCTGGCGTAAAGGATGATGTACACCAGACTTTGGTCTTGGCTATGAATGATTAGTATTTCACTCACTGAAATTAATGGCAAAGTTCATGTTCATTCTGATGGTGTAGGCATCATATAACAGATGAACCTGGTAGAATAATGATCAGAGTCATAAAAATGTTGGTAATTAAGTGCAAAATTTATTTTGAGGTATGCAGTTATCACTAGCCTTTAGGTCCTAAAGGTCAGATCACAAGTTATTTCTTGGATACTTCTCAGGGCTTTTGAAGGTAGGATATGATTTTGCTACTAGCTAACTTGAAAGTATAGCTGAAATTTGTAATTATGATTAAATGTGTAGCAGATACAATATCTCTCTGTAGAAATGCATTTCATTATTTCATGGAGTTGCAGGTGTGAGAAAATAATGGTATCCTATTCAGTGATTAAAATCTTACCACTCTTGAGTAGGTTCACTGATATCAGTGCTAGTACTCACTGTCAATTCATGATGAATACGTATTTTGGAAAGGATTCTAACCCAAGATGATAATTCCAAAAAGATATTCAAAGAGGCAGCTTCCCAAATTGAGGACTGTGTTATAGCATTTAAGATTCTAGATATTTACCTTTGCCAGCAGCTGGAGTGAATTCCCAAGTAAGGCTGAAATTATAATACGGTTTCTCTGCAAATACAACTAGTATAACAGATGAGTGTGGAATCTGGCTTGCTGAGACTGCGGCTTTTTAACAAAAATCCTGTTTTCCTCAAAAAGGCTCTAGTTCACTAATGCCCTTGAGAGCATGCAGTTCCTCATCAGTCCCATTGCAATGTAAAATGACCCGGTAATGTGCAGCAAAAGGTAGTAAGTGTTATCTGAGGAAAAACTGCCAGTTAGTCTTCAGAGAATTTTGCTTGTCTTGTGGCAAGGTAATTTAGTTCATGGAGGTCAGTAAACAGTCACATGTAAGAAATTTCTCTTTTTTAACTGAACTTTACAAATAAATGCAAAGCTTGAACTTCATTTGTATTAATAGTGAGACCTTGCAAAGATCTGGGGAATTTACAGCTTCTAGAACAGATGTTTAAACAGCTGGCCAGTGAAACCTGATTCTAGAGAACAGTGTACTGAGACTATTGCAAGGTGCTCATATCTGCCTCTTAAGATATGAGCACATTGTTACAAAAATAACCCCAGAACAGTGCAAATTTACCTGCATATGGAAGTCCTCATTATAGAAAGAAGTTTCCTTATAGTGCAGTTTTGCATTTCATCTTTTAGATTCTGGTAGTGCTTAACAGTCTTGCATCCTGATATCCTGCATGCTCTCAGGCTAACTTGAGGTGATATGTTAAATTTCCCCATTAATTTTTCATCTCTACTTTTTTTTTTTGGATGAAGAAGGAAGGTAAAACTTACAATTTGTTAGATTTTTTTAGGGTGGGGGTTGAAGGATTGAAATGTGTTTGCCTATTATTTGAAAGGCAGGTAAGGTAAAATTAGGGCTGAGCAATTAAGCAATCAATAAAGGGAATGTCACAACCGTTTGCCTGGATTAGCTGTCTAAATCTTTGCTGTGAAATGGCACAGCCTTCCCTATCTGCTAACCAAACATACAGGAAAAATAACAGTTCTTCCAGCTGCATGCTCCAATGTGTCTCTTCTCCAAACCTTTCCTCTCGAGGGCTGGCTAACTATATGTGTGCGTGTTACTTTCATGAATTATGCACTTCTTAAATGTTAAAAGTCCAAATAAAAGTTTGATTTTATAGGCAGAGAATAACTTTTTTCCTTGAGAGTTTATGTCTTTTTTAATAAAATAGCTTTGTCTCTATTTCTCTGTCAAACTTTAGTGTTGTAATATATTTGTAGCTGAACTAAGATTTTATTTCTGATGTTTATCTTTATTCCCCTCATCAAAACCCAATTTGGAAATTTTTCTGAGCAAGCCTAAATCTCAGCCTGGGAGCTCTTAGCCCCAAACACAAATATTACAAAAATTATGCATAACAAAGTTGGTGTGTAATCTGGCAGCAGTTCTGCAGCACTAGTAACTGCTTGTGTTATTTTCCTTTTGTTTTATGCATTTGTGCATAGAGACCTTGCCTCTAATATAATGAATACATGTGGGCTGAAAGATAAGAGCTGCTGCTCAGCCACAATCCCTTATAACCCGTGGAAGAGCCTGACAGATGGGCTGAAATTGAATCAGTGCAGTTGAAACTGGGGGGAAATATTATTAGTCTGTCATTGATATTAGTCTGGGCCATGCACCAGTTTAACGATGTTGCTCTTCTGAAACTTCCGTAGCATTACTGATCCTGTGTGGCTTGTGATTCTGATTTAAACATCACTCAGGAGTACTAAATTGATGTCATCAAGTAGCGTCCTGGTTATTTCTTCCCTCCTGATTTGGAGGAAACAGTGCCATCTAATGAAACTTTATTCCCTTACTTAAGCTGCTTAGCTTTTTCCTGAAGACCTCCTGATCAGACATTTAGCAAAGCAGAAGGAAGAGCTATTTATACTTTCAAAGAAACACAAATACTCCCTCAGGGATGACTCAGTCCTTACTAATAAACTTTTTGTTTTCCAAGCTGGTAACTCCTTTGAAGGGTACAATCATTGAATTTATCCTACAGTAATTAGTTGCATCAGGTTGATTAGATCTGTGATATTGTTGGAGAATCTAAAAGGACAAGCAAGGAGCTCCCATATCCTCATAAGGAAGTACTGATTTACAGCCAATCTTAGTTATATGCTTTAAAATATCTTTGCTGTAGATATACTCCAATAGTGATGTAAGGTTTGAGGAAAGATTACTTGAAGACAAGTTCATCACTGCCCAAACCAGAAATAATTGAATACTCTTTCCATGCTGTTCCTGCTCCATATCTACAGTATATCTTCTTGAGAGCTTACTGAAAAACAGTAATTTATTGGGCTGCAGTGAGATTTTAATAGCTTGGCAGAAATAATGCTTGCTCTACACCCTGATCCTGCTCCATATCTGCAGTATACCTTCTTGAGAGCTTACTGAAAAATAGCAACTTATTGGGCTTTAGTGAAATTTTAATAGCTTGGCAGAAATACTTGGCTTGCTCTACATCATTTAAGGTCTATTTTGGTGAAGTTGTGCAGGTGTACATTTGTCTTAAAGATATAAAGTTACCTTGTTTGGCATATACCTTGTTGGACAAACATCAGCAGATGTACTCAGCCTTATTAAAATTAGTAGGACTATTTGCATGATTGAAGTTGAAGTACTAAAATAGTTAGCTGAACTGGAACATGAGATTTCATCTGGGTGCCATATCCAGAAAAAATGTTTTTCATATGCATATTCCCACCTACATTAGGCTTAACTAGACTGAAACCTATTTCTTGACTGTTGAAAGTGATAGTTCTTTCTTTAATAAGCCTGTATATGCTTAATCAAGCTCTGGAGAAAGATCAAACTATTTTACTGCTGAATGGTTATAAAAAGACAAACTTCAGGAAGGTTGTGGTTTTGCAGCCTACTCATTTTTCATATGTGAAAATATGTTCCTGGAACGTCTGGGGCCTTTAAAGTGCCAGGACCAGAAATTAACTTTTTTAGAAGAATATTAGCATATTCAAAGGTTGCTTTTATATGTACATTTTTTCTAGTTTGCCACACTGCTTTAGATGTCTTTTCTGCCTTTCCTGAAGACTCACGTAATAGCTTTTACATACCAAAAATGTGGTGGTAATCCTATTCTATTTGAGGATTACAACTAAAGGAAAACGTAATGGTCTTCATTTTCATAGGATTACTTAAAAAAGCAACATCAGTTCCATGCAATGGCAATGAGTAGATAAGAGCTGAGCAACAAATGTGGCTGAAAAGATCCCTTTTCTTTGATCTCAACTGTAGCATGCAAGATACAGCTTTGTAACCTTTGTTTAATGGTCTATATAAGCTTGTCTACCACAAGTGTCTCAGCGTTTTCCTACTGGCATAAGATTAGAAGAACATACTGACAACACAGCCAGTCACTGATTTATAAGCCATGCTTCCCGGTCAGGAAGCCTCATATCGATTCATCTGGTTAGTGTGTACCCCCTGGACACAGTGCTGTAGCAAGTGATTAGACCCTCTGCCTTTGGGATATATCATGTTTTTATTCTAACACATGCTATACACAATTAGGCATCTTTGCTCTGTTATTAATTCACTTCTCAGCTGTTTAAAATGTACTTGTACGTAGTACTTGGTGACCATAAGAGAGCATTCTTGAAAAGCTTAGAGCACGTTGCCGTAATTTGATGTATGAGTAAAGAAAAAATCTGATACAGGATTTTTACATCAGTGTGTGATATTCATGTTGGCTTCCTCACCAGATTTAATTTTCAATGTATATCTTTCTTTTGGGATCAATATTTTAGTGATTGATTTGCTTAGTAGTTTTTTATATGTATTTTATCTTATTTGACTAACAATGTATCATGGTCTCCTGTATTTTGTACATTTTATCAATAAAGTGTCAGAGTACAGCTTATTTTTTCATCTTTAATATTCCTCCCTTCTTGCCCTTTTCCATATCCCCTGCTGGGAGAGAGTAAAAACTGAGATCTCAGTCCTTCCCTCTGTGTATGTCATGTTCCTGGGGTCTACCTGACACAGCCAGCACTGAGGTGTAGTACAGCAGCTCAATGTCTTGCTTTTTGGCTAGAGTTAGACTTTTTGACCTCTTCTTTCTGTCTGTTCAATTTTCTAAGGCTCTTGGAACTTATACTGCGAGGAACGATTCACTCATTTCTTTGGACGGGTGAAGAATGGTGAATATAAAGAGCATCTTGGGGTGAAGCTTTTCCAGTGCATTGAATTATGCATTGAAATCAAATGTTTAATTCTTTGGTGGAGAATAAAGGAATTCTAAGAAATGAGAGGGCAGTTCTGCAGAGTTAAGCTTCACAGAGGGACAGAGAGGCAGTATGTGAAGGGCTGGAGGAGGATGTGAGAAATAGCAGTACAGTAGTGGCATGTAAAGGATTATTTATAAGATTTTAGAAAATGGAACTCCAGGGTTTCGGTCCTTTTCAGTTTATGCTTTTGAATGGTTCAGATCCTTTTGTTATTCTCTTCCTTGGGGATTTTAATTCACTTTTTTCCCTCCCACTTCACTTCCCACCTACATCTTACAGTAACAGAGAGCGTTTATAGCTAATTAGCTATGCTCCTTGGTAGAAGAGTTTTAGAAAACAATGTGTAGGTGTTTTGGGCTTATTTAGTTTTCTTATACTATATCAAAATGTTATGTTCTAGCTTTTCCTAGTGACCTCTTGCTATGGCATTGTCTGCCCTCTATTGTGCTAGTGATGTCTGGGGTTCAGATGACAGATTGAATAAGCAGCTTCAGCACTATAAATTGAATTGGCTCAGGCGTCAAAGCAGCTGAAAGAGGTGTTTCAACTTTCATGGCTCCTAATATGGAAAATGCCGTTATCTGATGCAGGCTTCCAAGCTGCAGCTGGTGGGGATACCCTTTGGTAGGGCTGTCAAGGGCAATCAGGTGCTCTGCCATCTGTCTCCTGGTATTAGATGCGGCATGTTGAAGGATCATGAAATGGGCTAAACAGCTGTCTGGTCTAACCTGTTTTCTTGTCTTTATTATATCAAATAGCTTAGGAAAAGAAATCAAGATGCTGCAGGTTGGTGGTGAGCATCTCCTTTACTCTTAGTTACTGAAGCCACCTAGCTTTGGTACCCCTCTAGGGACCAAAGCTAAGCTTGCTCAACCTGTTTACGATCTGCCTAATCTTGTTTTTTCCCTGAAATCATTTATATTTCAGACTCCTATGACATCAGGGTGTCCACAGTTAGGCACCGGGAGAAACTAGGAGATCTACCACTCTTCAGATATATATATTTTTTATTCTAAAGCTTCCTCTTTAGACGCTAAGTATAAGAAAGCCCTCCAAATGCTTACCAGTAAAGAGCAGACTGATCTCTGTAATGAATACTGAAACCAAGGATGAGTGTCACTTTTCTGCAGCTGAAGAGCTTTTTAAAACATTCTTTTACTGCTCCTTTCATACCTTGATAAGCTATCATTCCCACCATCTCTGAGAGGCTTCCTGCTTCTGTTGCATTAGAAATCCTTTTTCCTATTCATTTGTGTATCTGCAATAAGTGACTTCTCTTCACTTGGCTTTTTGTGGTTTTGCATTTAATTTGTCAGAGCTTACACTGCCTTTTCATTTCTTCATTTGGACATAAATGCCATTTTCTCTTTTTTCTTTTCCTACTTTTTGGAAGCGAGGGGAGAAAGAGATCCTTGTCATGGTTTTGTTAGAAAATACTTACTCTGACATTGCGTTGTCTTCATGGAGTCTGCTGGTGTTTTACCCAGTGAGCAGCACTTCTTACCAACTTTTTAAATACAGTTTGTCTTCTAAAACTGAATGCATTTTAGAAGACTTTTATCTTGTTTTCTCTTTATAGGGGTGCTGCACAGGAATACAATGTAGTCATTAATATAGAAGGGGTCTTTTGTAGTGCTGTGATGAACCGTGTATGGTTTGCCACTAGAAACTAAATCAAGTTACAGACTAGTGACTCTAAACAGCCGTATATGATTTCCAAAAGTGTTGTATCTGCATCATATTGAAATGTGATTTGTGTATGGATAACTGAAGTCTCCCACTGTTGCTGTGCTCTCCGCTTCTGAGTATCTCCAATTTCCCTAAGGTTTCTATAATCATCATAATTCACTGGGCAGTTTACAGCTCTCTCCATAATACTCTTCCTATTTAAGCATGCAGTTTTGATCCCTAGAGATCAAAGTTTATTATGATAATATAGAGTCACAGAGTCACAGAAACACAGAACAGCCAGGGTTGGAAGGGACCTCTGGAGATCATCTAATACAATTCCCATGCTCCAGCAAGGTCCTCTAGAGCACATTGCCCAGGATCACATCCAGGCGAGTTTCGAATATCTCCAGCGAAGGGGACTCCACAACCTCTCTGGGCAACCTGGGCCAGTGCTCAGTCACCCTCACAGGAAAGAAGTTTTTCCTTATGTTCAGACGTAACTGCGTGTGTTTCAGTTTCTGCTTGTTGCCTCTTGTCCTGTCATTTGGCACCACGGAGAAGAAGTATGGCCCCATCCTCTCAACGTCCTCCCTTCAGATACTTGTACACATTGATTAGATCACCTCTCAGTCTTTTCTTCTGCAGGCTCAACAGGCCCAGCTCTCTCAGCCTTTCTTCAGAGGAGAGATGCTCCAGCTCCTTCATCATCTTAGTAGCTCTGCGCTAGATTTGCTCCAGTAGTGCCATGTCTCTCTTGTACTGGGGAGCCCAGAATTGGACAGAGGACTCCAGGTGAGGCCTCACCAGGGCTGAATAGAGGGGGAGAATCACCTCCCTCGGCCTGCTGGCAACATGCTCTTCCTAATGTACCCCAGGATGCCATTGGCCTTCTTGGCCACAAGGGCACATTGCTGGCTCATGCTTAACCTGTTGCCCACCACAACTCCCAGGTCCTCCTCAGCAGAGCTGCTGTCCAGCAGGTCAGCCCCCAGCCTGTCCTGGTGCATGGGGTTATTCCTCCCTAGGTGTAGGACCCTGCACTTGGCTTTTGTTGAACTTCAGGAGGTTCTTCTCCACCCAACTCTCCAGCCCGTCCAGGTCCCTCTGAATGGCAGCACAGCCTTCTGGGGTGTCAGCTGCTCCTCCCAGTTTAGTATCATCAGCAAACTTGCTGAGGGTGCACTCTGTCCCTTCCTCCAGGTCATTGATGAATATATTGAACAAGACTGGACCCAAGACTGACCCCTGGGGGACACCGCTAGCTACAGGTCTCTGACTAGATTCTGCACCACTGACCACAACCCTCTGAGCTCGGCCATCCAGCCAGTTCTCAATCCACCTCACTGTCCACTCATCTAGCCCACACTTCCTGAGTTTACCTAGGAGGATGTGATGGGAGTCACTGTCAGAAGCCTTGCTGAAGTCCAGGGAGACAACATCCACTGCCCTCCCTTCATCTACCCAGCCAGTCATCCCATCCTAGAAGGCTATCCTAGAAGGCTAGAAGGTCAAGAATGATTGTCCCTTGGTGAATCCATGCTGACTACTTGTCATCACCCGCTTGTCCTCCACATGCTTAGTGAGGACCTCCAGGGTGAGCTGTTCCATCACCTTTCCAGGGACGGAGGTGAGGCTGACAGGCTTGGAGTTTCCTGGCTCCTCCTTCTTGCCCTTTTTGAAGACTGGGGTGACATTGGCTTTCTTCCAGGCCTCAGGCACCTCTCCTGTCCTCTGTGTCCTTTCAAAGATGATGGTTAATGGCCTAGCAATGACATCCGCCAGCTCCCTCAGCACTTGTGGGTACACCCCATCAGGGCCATGGATTTGTGCTTGTCAAGTTTGCCGAAATGATCTCTAACCTGATCCTTCTTGACCAAGGGAGAGTCTTCCTTTCTCCAGCCTTCCTCTCTTGTCCCCAGGGTCTGGAATTCCTGAGGGCTGGCCTTAGCAGGAAAGGCTGACGCAAAGAAGGCATTCAGTATCTCTACCTTCTCTGTATCCTTTGTTACCAGGGCACCCACTCCGTTCAGCAGCGGGCCCACATTTTCCCTAGTCTTCCTTTTGCTAATGAGGTATTTGAAGAAGCCCTTCCTTTTGCCCTTAATAGCCTTCCTTGTCACATCCTTGCATACTCTGACAACATCCCTATATTCCTCCCACGTAGTCTGTCCCCTTTTCCACATTCTGTGTACTTCCTTCTTCTGTCGGAGTTTTGCCAGGAGTTCCTTGCTCATCCATGCAGGTCTCCTGCCCACTGTGCTGGACTTCCTACTCAGGGGGGATGCACCCGTCTTGAGCCTGGAGGAAGTGATACTTGAATATTAACCAGCTCTCCTGGACGCCCCTTCCTTCTAGGGCCCTACCCCATGAGATTCCTCCAAGTAGGTCCCTAAAGAGGCCAGAATTAGCTCTCCTGAAGGCCAGGGTTGCGATCTTACTTAGTGCCCTGCTTCCTTCTTGCAGAAGCCTGAATTCCACAAAACTCCACAAAACTCCACAAAAGTCAAATATGACTTAATATATGCCATCATTGCCCATCAATACATTCTGCTCTTCAGCTTCTGACTTCTACTTTTCCACAAGTGTCCAAAGATTTACTTATTTTCACCATATTGTGAAGATGTTTCCTGTACCTAAGTTTGTAACTGGTTTCCTGTACCTAGGTTTGTGACTGATTTAAAACCAGACATTGTTTCATATGTCTTAGTTTTTACAGTATAGCATTTTAGAGAACTTCCCATGCTTAGCTGGGAATATATTTACTGATTTTGTTACTTCTTACTGGAACTTTGCAAACTTGCATCTGATTCTCTTTTCTAGGATGTACCATTTATGATTTCCCCTAACAGCACATTATTCTGAACTTTGTGCCCTGCTGCGTCTGTCAGTTTTCTTCAAGGCTTTTGCTTAAAATTTCTGCCAGAGGGTGGAGATCGTATAGTTGAATCTCATGTACAACAAAAACCTAGTATTCAAAGAGTAAGATCAGATTTATGAGGCAAGAGCCTCTGCAGAGTCTTATTTTTGGTATAAGTAAGGCTTGCTTCAGTTAATCAACTTGTTCCTTAATTGACTAAGCTGAAAGAAATCTCTCTCAAATTAAAGCACATGCTTTTAGCACTGCTTAATTATGTCAAATTAAATTTGCACCTGAAGTTATATGGATGAAACTTCATCCTGGAGGTGAGCCTAAAGTTATACTGGAATCAGAATAGAAATTAGTTGGCATGTGATAACTTCGAACTTTTTCCCCCTAAGATGGTATTAGAAGATAATATTTTAAAAAATGAAAATAGATTGTTATCCTTGAATAAGAGAGGGAAGGAAAAAGGAAATGTTTCTAACACCTGAGCTGCTAAAATAACTTTTCAGATTGGAAAATTCTGCATATATCACCAGGTCCTTTTTTTTGTACTTATTCAATGTCAATCTATTCCCTATCCTGTTGAAATCAATGGCATAACTCGTACCACTTTCTGTGACAGTGGGCTCAGTCACTGCTTTTCTGTTATTTCCTGGGTGTCACCATATTACAGTCACTAAATGAAATCTTACTCACATCTATATGTCAGCCCAGTAAATCTAAGCATGACTCCTCAAATGCATTAGTTCTTTTAAGTGGTCAATACATTAGATGCATGATTGTATTTTTTAATTCTTGTGGGAACAAAGAACCAGTTTTAAGACTCCTGTACCATATTGTTTCAGTTGATTCCTGAAAGCCCTTTTTGGCCCTGTTTCAGAATAAAGCAGGTGGAACTTCATGGTAGAGTGTCGGAAGAAAGGCATCCCGCAATCAAAATACCTCAAGAATGGCTTTGTAGATGCTGATGAGAAGATCTTGGATAAGTACGGAAAGACTCCTCAGCTCCCGAAGCGGCGTGCTTTGGCAGATGAAATAGAGAAGGAAAGAAGCAAGTTTATTTTTCAGCTTTCTGGAGAGCAGTGGATGGTAAATATAATGGAAAATACATTTTTATTGTTAAAGAATTTGAGTGGCTTAGCACTGTAACTTTTAATTCCACAAAATTTTATTTTAACAATGGGTATGAAACTAATGGTTTTTCCCAGTGTTAGAAGTTACAAAAGCATTTCTTATTGTGCCTTGAACTAATAGTTTAGTTTTCAAATATATTTATTTTAAATTCTCTCCTGAAACATGTAATTTAGCCCTTACAAAAATTACTGGTGTGAGCAATCACATTGCAACAAGATCTCTTTCACTTAAATTCCCTGATGAATGGAAAAAGATGAAAGTAATATTCAGCGTTGGCTTGTTGATGTCTTCGACTACTTGAAGATCTGGTGGCTTGCTCTAATGGTGTGATAACTTTCTTTTTTTCAAGCTCTGTTCAAATCAAAAGTAACATTTGCATCAATCCATAATGGACTAGCAAAAAGAAAAAAAAAAAGTGCTTAGTTGTGTTTTATATGAAATGCCAGTTTAGAAGTGAGCTCATTTGAAGTTCCACAAAAGGGAGGTTAGAGTTGGTCTGAAGCTTTTTAGACTGTTAAAGCTTCCACTTAAATGTATTTTGAATACAAGATACTTTATTAAGGAAAAAGTAAAATTATCATTTTGATTTTTTTGTAATTTATCATTTTGAAATAGTCTTTTGGGATCATTTTCATTACAAAAAATGCAAGGAAAAAAGGTCAATCAACAAAGTGTCTCGATTTTAGTAAGACAATTATTTTGATTGACCTGAGAAATAATTTTGTTCCAAATTTCATCTCACATAAAGGTGGCTTTTTTTTAGCTTTAGTCCTTTTCTGAATAAACCAAATAATTGGAATTTTTTGGAAGACAGAAAACCCTGGCCCTCATCCAACTTTAGTAAGGAGATAATTTCTTCAACTAATGCCAGTCATCCAAGTGGTAGGATTGATTGCTGAAGAACTAGCACTTCTCAGCTTCCAGAAACTTTTGATATTGGCAATAAAATTATCTAAAGTTGTGTAGTTTTATACTGTACACTTTCCTGTATTGTAAGCTTTGTATGGATGTTTGGAGGAAAAAAACGAGATTTTAAAGCTCTTTAGACACTGATGTTGTAGCACCTGCAAATATTTTCAGTGCAGAGGGGAGGAGGGGGCTGAAAGCTAAAACTTTTCTGTTGCTTTATTTCAAATTGACATACTGAAAGATTAAATCGAGGGCAGGATCTCATTGAAGAGACACTGGTCTTTAGCAGCAGATTCCTACCAGCTGTGCTCTATGGTTCTTTCTCTGTCATGGGTGTACTCAGTTGGTTTGCCTTGTTGTTCAGCTACAACTTGATTACAGTGAGCTTCTCATTTCAAAGAAATAGGGTCATGTAGTTCGCAGGTGCTTGAGGATGAAGATAAAATCAAAGCAGTTAATTCATATGCCTTACTTGGAGAAGACCCACCCTTCCTCAAGGTCAAAGAATGCTAGCAGTCTCTAAACAGCTGAAAATTGTCAAGTGCGTTTTCACATTTTTAAAAATAAAGTTCTACAGGAAGTATGTTTTCCCTCATTACAGAAATTTTACAAAAATTATAGTGTTAGTTATACAAATCACACCATCTTTTTTGCAATTTATCTCAACTGCTACTTGCAAACCAAAGGCAGAATCAGCCATGACTCTTTTTCCTCCCCCACTACTCTCTCAAGAGAATGCATTTAGGCAAAATGTATTTGCAGACTATATAAGCAAATGAATTAAAAGATGCACAGGCTGATAATTAGCATGTGAAAAAATCTGTGGATATGTGACAGTTTTCTTAGAAATTCCTGTATGCTATGTAGTCAGGAGCTGTGGTAACTTTGCACGGAACTACCGCTACGAGGGGAAGTTGGGAAGACCAAGCACTTGGACATTAGGAGATGTCAGAACTGCGGTTGCCTGTGCAGTCAAACTGGTTTGACTGCAGCTTGGTTTTCTGCTCATTGGCCCTGTATATTTGCCAGCAGCAAACAGCAAAGCTCTGTGAAGTGTCCGTCTGGGAACTGGCTGCTGAATCCACTATCTTACTTGCTTTTAGCTGATAAGTGTTTCTGTTATATTTCCTCTTTCTTCTCATCAATGAAGCCATAATGTATCATCTCGACAGTTGATAGCTAAATCTGAGTAGGCTGCTGGTATGACTTACAGATTTAATTTTAAGAATTGGGCCTGCTTCTGGCCTCTACCAGTTCTCTTTCTGCACACTGTGAAGTTAAGTTTCACAGAGGAGTAATTCCCAGCTTACGGAGTTTGCAAGATCAGAATAAGTGGCTTTACAATATCCTTCTGATTGATAGGTCTCCACACAGGCACTTTTTGGCATTTTCTCCAGTAGCAAATGCGTTAACTCCACAAATGAACTAATGGAGATGTTTGTGAACCTGCAGTCGGTTAGAAAGGTAGCTTATGTTGGGGACCCGTCAGTGCCAATGTTGTTTCACTGGAGGTATCACAGACATGCCAGTGTCTCATATTCCATACCTGTGCAGCATAGCAGTGAATCCGGCCTGTTGATTCCAGCTTGCTGAATACACGTTTGAAAATGGGCTTCATAAAACCTTCTGTTGTATACTGAGATAGCCAGGACAACTATTTTGATAATCAACTGGACAGTAATTTTTTGGGGAAATAGTCTTGAATCTGCTTCTGAGAACCTTTTGCAATGGGGGAAATCAGAGCGGATCACACATTTTGAATTGCTAATAGCAATTCCTTCCTTCAGGACCTCTTTACCACTTTTGTTTCACCTCAGATGTCACTGATAATGTGTTTTCATTAAGCGGACACTCACTATTCCTTTCAGTTGTAAAGTAATTATTTTAACGTATCTGAGAAGAGGTGAAGATCAGATAATGAAATTTAGGTTAGCTAGACAAGCACAGAATACTAGCTAGAGAAAGCAGGACTTAGTTTTATAGTATCTGAATTTTTAGTATATATATTCTGTGTGTGCAGATCCATAATTCCTTGTGGATCATTAATTCTTTCTCATTATGGTTCACTTTTAGGCCAGTTTTTTGAGGCATGCAGTGTGAGCCTGTACACATCTTAAATCAATGGTTTTATAATTGTGTGATTGCCTCAACTTAATGGGATTTCTTACGGTGGTGTAAGGAGGATCAGTATCAGGCCTTTACACTTGAACTTATGCTCAGTGAACCTCTCTGAATCTGAAAAACTCTTCATGTAACTTGCTTACTAAGTTGATGGTACCTCTCCAGAGTGGGTAGCTTCTGGCTGAGGATAGTGGTTGATAAATGCAGCGATGAAATGATTTTATCTTTTTCAGTCAGAGCTGCACTTGGAAGAGATTATGTGATGGCATCCTTAGTGTTTGGTGGTCCTTGACACCTCTTTTGTGTATCAACCAAATATTTATGAACTGAGGATCTGCATCTCTGTGTGGTGCATCTCTGCCAGCTGGGAACGTGTGGACAGCAATGAATTAAGAAAGCCAAGTATTTATATTTAGCAGCTGAAATAAAACATTAGGAAAGAAGAGGTCTTATGGTAACAAATGGGCTAGTCTCTTAATGTGATGGTGTGAAAGAAGTCAGGCTTGTCTTTTCACTTTATAAAAACAGGGCAGAACCCAGTGGTATTCCCCTCTGCAGCAAGTCTCTTCAATCCTGTTGCGTTTGTAAAAACCTTGGGACTTGTCAGGAGGAGAAAGATGCAATGTGCCACAAGTAAGTTGAGGTTCCCCAGGTATGTTTAAGAAAACTTTCTTCCTCTAAGAGTTTTCCAGGAAAACCCACCATAAAAAGAGGCTGTATAAGGACTTTGGGCTCCTGAATTGTAAATTTAAATCCATTGCCTAGGAGAGAATGGTAGAGAGTTGATGAAACTCTTAATTGAGATCCTTTGTACATGTAAACATGTACCTACTAAATTAAATTAGTTCTTCAGAGAGATAGCAGTGCTATTAGAACTGAATGAAATCTGTAGCAAAATAACACCATGAATATTCATTTGAATTTTTAAATGAATTTACTTTGACTCTGTTTTTTCCCCTCTGCATGTTTGCTTCCTGCTCCTAACTAATGAATGTTTATTCTCTGGTGGATCAGCAGACTTAGAATGATTTTAAGAAAATAATCAGGAAAAGTAGACTTCTGAATCTGTCAGTGCTGGTAAATGAAAAGTGATAATGTTCTCTCAAAGGCAGAGCAGGGCTTGGTTCTTGGCTATGTCGCTTTACTGCAGCAGAGAATCTGGATCCATGCTTATTTTAAAAAACTTTAATATCAGATGTGCACAACACTTATGGATGAGTGACTGTAAAATTATTACTAGAAAATCATGACCTTATTGCATATCATTTATGAACAGAAAAAGGCAGTAAATTAACGGAATTACTCATTTGTATTTATTCTCCCAGTTTTACCGTCTAACATGCTCTCTTTTCACTGAGAGCAGAGAATTTCCATTTGTTATTTGCAACTGTGAATGACAGTGAGGAATCAGTTTGCCACAATAGGTCAAGCAGAATCACTGTGCTGAACAGATAGAAAATCTGCTGCACACTTATTCTCTTCCAGAGGTTGCCCCCCCCCCAAAATTTATAAGATGCTTGACCTAGTCAGGTAATAGAGATGGCCCTGAGTCTTAATAGTTTTGGAACTGGCTCCAAACTTTCTCAGAGATCATAGATTTGAATCCAGTGTTTCCTTTTGGCCCATGATAGATGAAATTACGGAGCTGAGATAAGATACAGAATTGAAACTTCTCAGAGCTGAATGCTTTGATCATAGTTTTAGCACAGGCTTATGTCTAGCAGGTAAATCTCCTAATTAGAAATAGAAAAATTAGCAAGGGTTGTAGCTTTGCTACTTATTGCTTTTTAATAGTGTTTTTTCCCCCAAATCAAAGGAGTTTGAGGTATTGTTTTCCTGTTAAAGGCAAAAGACTGGCTATCCTCCAAGTGTCAGTCTTCATGGAGTAATTTATCAGCAGGCTACCAGCTTTAGCGTGACAGCAGAAGATTACAAAAGAGCACAAGGGAATCAGAGTAAAGCAAACATAAAGCTTGTGCAAATTTCTGTTCCCATCCCTAACTGGTTTGTAAATGAAGTAAAAATTTATGTTTCAGCAACACATATGTATGATAAGACAGAAAATCAGAAAATGCTTTTTTTTTTTAAAAAAAGCATGTTATATCACAGTGTTTGTAAACTTACATTTGCAAAATGTAAATGCGATTAAAAGACGTAAAGAAATAATCTTGAGGGAAAAAGGTGAGTCAAAGAAATTGGTAGAAGAGCCCAAATTCAAACCTCGTTCCATTCTTTTGAAGTTTCCATCTTTTTGCATCCATCCTTGCATTAGAATATCTTGATGCTCTTGAGGCAATCCTTAAAGACTTTTTTTAACCTCTTTTCCATCAGTCCTAAGTGATGGGGAAAAAATGAATCATTTTGTCTCATTTTTCTGAAGTTATAAAGGAGCTGAGTTTTTTTATCTTTATCTGAGAGAGTGCCTTGTGTTTTGTACTGTTTTTCTTGTGTATTGAGAAGTTTCTGGGATCCCGCCTACAGTGCAGGGAAATGTCCTGCTGTTGGCTTCACGGGGGCAAGTCTTTGCCTCTGCTACCTGCTGTGTCCCCTGGGGCCAGCAAGGAGTTGGAGGTGGTCAGGTGTGATAGTGAGGTGGAAAGAAACAGGAGGTCAACAGAAAGATTTTTGGACGGTGGTACAATGGGGAAAGTAGTGGTGAATGATTCTTAGACATTTTTCCCTGGTATAACTATATTATGCATCTGCTTTCTCTGTGAATCACAGTTCTTCCTTAAAACAATATCTATGCATCTCCAGCTGAATGCTAACCCTATGTGCTGCATCTTCAGTTCTCTAATGGTGGGAAAAACAATACTAATTGAATTCCTAGTTGGTATTTATTGTTTTATTTTGCTGCAGAAAAATGTGCACCACCAAAGGTGGAGGAGTGGAAACCCAGTCTAGCAAGTTGGAGAGATTTCTTATACAAATCCTGAGCCATTTCAGGCATTTTATTTTTTAACTGCCATAAACTGACAAATATATTGCATTGTGATCCATCTTATATACACCAACTGTGAAAACGAAGCAAGAAATGAAATGATCCGTATCAAACATGGAAAGGCAGGTGGCAAGACAGAACTACCTATGTAGGCTAAATGTCTGCATGCATAAGTTGAAAAGCACTATAATTAGAGGTGACAACAACCAAACAAAACACTGTTCATGATCAACAGTTTAGTATATCTTTAATTGCAATTAGATGTTTTAATTTAGCTAACGGTTAAGTAGCACCATTCTAAGTTTTTAAAAAGAAACAATAAAAATGCCTCAGCCTTGTTAATGTTCTAATTGATCTATGAAATACAGAGGGAAAAAAAATTACTTGGCAGAGTCCTCGGTATAAAAGCAGTAATTCCTACTGTGTACAATTCTTTATGCACAGCAAAAAAGGTATAAAGGAATTCAATGTTGAAACTATTACATCTCTTTTTATGGAACGGAGGCAGTAATAGCACCTCATCCAGATTATTTATTCCAGATGTTACCAATGCACAGTGCTATAAAATCAAGAACAGAATGGTAAATTATGTGCTGCTTTAGAAAGTGTAGTTTAAATGATCTGACCTTCAACTTTATCAATTGATTTTTATCTGATTCAAGTTTAAGGAATTTGGTTGCATAATTCAAACAAAGACGTGTAAGTCTGAACTGAATACCAATTAACTATAGTGATCTCATCAACGTGTACAAGTATCTGAAGGGGGAGTGTAAAGAGGAGGAGGCCAGCCTCTTCTCCGTGGTGTCCAGCAACAGGACAAGAGGCAACGGGCAGAAACTGAACCACAGGAAGTTCCATCTGAACCTGAGAAAAAACTTCTTCACTGTGAGGGTGACAGAGCATTGGAACAGGTTGCCCAGAGAGGTGGTGGAGTCTCCTTCCCTGGAGATCTTCAAAACCCGTCTGGATGTGATCCTGGGCAATATGCTCTAGGTGACCCTGCTTAAGCAGGGAGGTTGGACTAGATGATCTCCAGAGGTCCCTTCCAACCTAAACGATTCTGTGATTCTGTGATTCTGTGATCTGAACCCTTCCCCCTCTAACCATTACATGTGGAAGATTTTGGACAAACAGAATAGTGTGTGAAAATTACTCAGAAGCAAACTTATTTGTTGTGTATTTAGAACAATCACAGAAATTTTAAAGAAGTTTCTGCAAGACAGACAAGAATTATTCGCAATTCTAGACTGGTTTAAAAATTCAATATTTCTATTCTATAAAGAAATTGAGCAAAAATTCTCAAATATTGGAATGACTGAGGAAGTTAAATAACTTTTTTTAAAATAAGACTTTCAGAAAGTGATATACTTGTATCCTACTTGAAATGTATCTACTTCTTAGTCTGGGCAAACAAATCTCAGAACAGTAGCAGGTATTAACAGTATAGTCACACCTTTTTTGTGTGTGACAAAGTCCATTTTGATATCTTCCATACACCTGCTCTTCTATTCCCATGTTGCAGTTTTACCATGTCCTGATGTGAGAATTAAAGCACTGATGTTTGTTTGTGTGTGTGTGTGTGTGTGTGTGTGTGTTTGTCTGTGTGGAGCCTCCAAACCGGTGGAGTGCTACAGACAGATTTCAGTTTTAGAGCAAAGTGTTTGTGCCAGCAGTTAAAAATTGCCTGTGTGGTGACAGACAGTTGCAATGATCTTCAGAGGAGAAAAGCTCCTACATGGGTTGTTGAACAAATTGCTTGTCTGCATCAAGATAATTAAGACAAAGTGTTGAGGTTTGGCCATGGAATTTTCTCCACTCTTTTTAGAAATATGGTAGAACCCAATTCCAACCTGATGCTTTCTATTTATGAAATATCGTTTAATTTGCAGGAATTCCCAGATTCTCTGAAGGAGCAGATCCATCTGAAAGAATGGCATGTGAACAATACGTTGATACAAACCATTCCAGCTTATATTGCCTTGTTTCAGGATCTGAGAGTACTGGAGTTGTCAAAAAATCAAATCACCCATCTTCCCGTGGAAATTGGTATGTTGTTTCACACTATTTAGCTATTTATACTCTTGCTATTTAACTATAATGCAGGACCATAAGCGTGCATGATTATTCTTATTCATTCACTGATAATTGTCTCAGTTGTTTCCAGTCAGTCCTTTGTAAATTTCTATAGCTTTGTAGTTATATTTGCTGAATTGCATGCAATATCATGGGTAAAATATGGCTCAGATGTGATAAAACTGACACACTCTGGTTGTCTTACCATCAAACAGTCGCTGTAGACATTCAAGTGGATGGAGACTCCTTCTTGAGAATGGGAAGTGTTTTATGTTCCTTATAGGTTAGGGACAGTATAAAATCCAGACAAGATGTACGGAAGCATAAGATGCTAGTAATAGGGAAATTCACAAAATATAATCTTGGAAAGAAACCTTCTTCTCAATTTTATAACAAGTTCAGTAGTGATCACTGTGCAAAGTGCTATTTCCAACTTGACTACAGAGTTTTTAGAGAAACAGTGTAATTCTTAACTCTTACCTACTTTGGTCTTTGCTATTTTGAGCTATATAATAACAATTTTCATGTATTTGGCTTTTCTGAGGCTTTCTGATCTTACAAAATAAAAAGCTCTTTCAAAAGAGTACTAGTTTGAGAGGGAGTTGCTGCTCTTACAAGGAGGGATGTTGCTGTAAGCAGTGAGCTGAAGAAATTGTGTGTTGTGAGGGATTTTTGGCTTCCTCCAGTCAGGTCGATGCACTGAGGTATAATAGCTGCCTAACAGCTCAGCCTTTGGTTTTGAATTCAGCAGTCCTAAGTTTGTTCTATGCCTGGATTTCCTTAAGTACCCAATGAGTTAATATCTTTCAAATGAAGAATAAAGACTAAAACCATCTCCACAATTATAATTTTAACTAAGAGAAACAGGAAGAAGGGAAATGTCCTGAAACACAGAAGTCACCACTAGGCTTTTCCACTTAGTAAACTAACACTAACATTTTGTAATTTATTTACTAACATTTTATTTTACACAGAAAATTTCTCACTGGCGTCCAGATATATTTTATAGTTTCAACATGGTAGTCAAATACACTAGCAAATCATAAACAAGACACAAGCAGGAGAAAATGGATATAAAATAAACACTAACCGTTTTGTCAGCATTTTGACCACAGAAGTCAGATGGGTCAGCAGGTTTAATGGACTCTCATGCCTTGCTTCACGCGGAGGAGGAGAAGCTTTGAGTACCCCCCAGCAGCTATGCTAGGCCATTAAACATTAGGTTTTAAGGGGTCACTATCTAACTATTGAGGCGGGTAGAGACTAAGGAAGGTTTTTTCTTTCTTTCCTCTTGTAATACTTAGCACTAATAATGAAATGGTCCTACAGAAAAGGTGATTATGAATGGTAATGAAGTTTGTTTTCAGAATGAAGGCATAAAGTTAGATGAGTCTACCATAACCTATTCCCTGTAGAGGTTAATTTAGAGGCCATTTCAGACCTTTCTTGGGCAAAAAGGAAGAATATTTCAGATGTGTCTCATAGCAACCACCATTCTTTCAATTGCCTTTTAAATGACATGAATTCTGCTCATCTGGTGCTTTTCTGCTACTCCCATTCCTCTGTCTTCCCTCTAATCTATGTTCATCCCTCTAGTGCCTGCTGAAGCTGTTGCATTTTTCCTTTCAATGTTTTTGTTGCTGCTTTTTTATTTAAGCTTTTGACTGGAAGCATCGGCGGCTATTAGAAAGCAGTTTGCTGTGGGACTGCCCCACACTCAGTATTATAGCACTCACCACTATCCTGTTAAAGTTGAACTCTAGTTCAGAAAAGACTTTCAAGGTTGATTAGACGAGAGAGAGCATAACTGTGCTAAACACTCATTTGGAGAAACCTGGGTTTGAATCTTTCCTCTTGAGACACTGTATAAGTTTATACGCAACTGGATGAAACGTTTATTTAGTGATAGAGGAAATTTATACAATAGTTCTACATCTCAGCAGCAATTCTAGTCTATCCAGACAAAGATCCAGTAGCTTAAAAAAACAGTTACTCCTGGACTCAGTACTGTAGCCAAACTACTTAGTGCTTTTTTGCTAAAACTGCCTAATGATTTTCAGCCCTAGGCAATGTCCTGTGTTGATACACCATTTGTAAGTAAAGCAGCACAGCTGCCTTTGTTATGGCAGAGATTATAGAGAGGTTCTCTCAACTCAAACAATGCTCTCTCAGTTGACATATAAAGTTGTGTGCTTCCGAATGGCCGTGGTTTTATTTCAGGTACTATATATGCCTGTGCACACACATAGAAATTAGCATGTATTGGATGTGGTCATTAGTTTAATAAGATCTTATTGTAAAAAATGTGATGCCTTGAATTTTTTGGATGATGTTTCAAGTTGTGAAAAGTCTCAGACTTCAGTAATCCAGCTGCTAAATTATCCCAGAAAAAAATCTATGTGGGCTCAGTTTGGGAGCTTTATCTAAGCAAGGAGTGAGGATTGGGTGTTAAATCAGAAGGACGGGGTATAGATGGGAAAGGAGGCTCACTCAGCTGAGTGGAAGCTTGTGTGTACTTTGTCTCCTGCAATCTGCAGAGATTGATCCAGCAGAGTTTTCCCCGTGCTCGGCTTATCTGCCACCTGGGAAAAAGATTTAGGTGATATAGTTGCGGTTCAGAGAAATGCTGTGTCCAAGGGGATCCCTGAAGTTTGTGCAAAATGCTGCAGGCCCATGAGATTTGGGCACTGCTAGTATTAGTCATCAAATTATGCGTTGCTTCTGCCAACAGCAGTTTCTCAGAGCAAAATTGCGGGGCTTCCATTTCCCTAC